ACAAATTTAAGGTCAATTTTGTTATATACATATTTCTACTCTTGTTTAAGTATTATGTTTATACAGCTCTCTTAAAATGTAATGTATAATTAAATACAGATTATAGATAGTCACCTATAATAGTCAAAACTTGTAGTTATATTAGTTAGGTTTTCTAGATATACAGAGACATATTTTAAATGGATAGGTATTCTTCAAAACCTTTCAAAGACCTACAGAAAATAGCATTTTAAATGGTTTATTAGGGTTTTTCATGACAATGAGTTACAACTGCTCTTGCAACACCAAATATGTTAGAAAGGAAGATGGGCACTGAAGAAACTCATTATGGAGTTTACTTTCAATGTGGCAAACTGGCCAGTTGGGCAAAGAACTGTCCTTACTTCAACTGATGACAGTAAGCAGTTACAAAGCAAGTTACAAAGGAAAGTTACTTCTGAAACTTGCCAAGAAACAGGATGATCCTTCAGGCTTTGCAGATGAAAGCAACTGATGAGCTTTGCCAATACAAGACAGAACAGCTCTTCAAATTTCCTGCTTTATTAAAAACTCTACCAGACACTATAGCCTATGGGCTTAATATGGATGCTCCAACATTAAGAGGAAGTATGGGTGATTGTCCAGGCAGCAAGATGTCTCTGTCAATTCTAGAGTTTATATATTGTCCTTCTGAAGTCTTTGATGGAATTGAAGACAGATAGTTATGGTTATGGTTTTCCTGAGTTATGATAAAAGATAAGTTACATATAAAACTTTAGACTCACAAAAACAAAGTAGAAGATAGAATATTTTCTTTAAATTTTGCCAAATATTAGTGAACTAAATATTGTTAACTATAGTTCTTGTTTGATAACTGTTTTGTTATACATAATTTTACTATGCTAAAGTTAAAAACCTTCCTTTTTATTTAGACAGAAAAGAGGTGATGGGGGATGTCATTCTATATGCTGTGAATATATGCTTCTCTTATTGGTTGATGAATAAAGCTGTCTTGGCCAATGGACAGGCAGGATGTAGCCAGGCAGGAAGTGTAGGCAGGACTACCAGACTAGGAGAATGCTAGGAAAAGGAACGGAGAGTGAGTTGCAGGGGAGACGCCATGTAGCTGTTGAGAGAGCATGAAATGGGGCCATCACCAGTAAGCCAAGACGTGGAGATACACAGATTAATAGAAATGGGTTGACAATTAAGAGAGAGCTAGCCAACAAGGATCCTAAGCCACAGGCCGAACAGTTTATAATTATAATAAGCCTCTGTGGTTTATTTGGGCCTGAAGGACAGTGGGACCAGACTAAACAGTAACTCTACCCACATTATAATCCATGGAATCAAAAAGACAACATTAATAAATTCAATTAAGCTTCTAGATACAAAAATCAACATAAAAATCAATTGCATTTTATGCTAATAACTGCCTTGAGAAAAGGAAATGGAAGAAAGAATTCTACTTATACTAGAATAAAAAGAATGAAGTGTTCTTCATACTTCAAAGATGAAGAAGCTGAGACAGACAGCTGAGCTCAAACCACAAAACTATGAAAATGACAAACTTAATATTCAAATACTGATCTGTCTCAAGAAACCCACCCTCTTTTCCCAGAAGATTAATGCTCTCAGGTCTGAGAAAATGTTCATGCCCAGAACAACAGCTCTCCGGTCAGTGGGGAGGCCTATGACCAGAACAACAATCGCTACTGGTTTTAGAAGTCGTAAGCTTGAACTGGATACAGCATTTTAACCCTCAGCTTCTCAGTTACATTTATCTGGGTCCAAGCAAAAAAATAATAATAACAATATGGTGGTTCACACCTGCAATCCAAGAATTCCAGAATCAAAGGAAGAAGATGATTAAGTTGAGAACAGTCTAAATCACACAGAGACTTCGAGCTCAGCCTCGAAATTCTGCTAGAGAGAGAGAGGGATGCAGAGAGTGACAGAAACAGACGCAGAAAGACAGAGACAGGAAGAGAGAGGCAGACAATCAGACAGACACAGAAGCAATTTGGTTGTATTCGGCATTCAGACTAAAAAAATAAATAAAAACCTTAAATAACATAACTTTTATAGAGGATAAAAATTGCAATTCAGCTTTCCTTTATCTTAATAGCATTTTACAAAAACCATTTATTATATTATAGAAAGTTAGGAAATACAAGTGAAATTGCTTAAGTTGTGTTTCTTAGAGGTAAATTTTTATTTTAAAGGAGCTTTTACATTCTTGCCTGGGATGATCAGGAACAGCAGTCAGGAAGGGCACAGCTAGCAAAACTTACTCACAGTTAGGAAAGCAGTCACTAATTTTTCCCAACAATTTGGATTGAGGAATGCTTAGTAACAGAACACGTGCCTAGAATACACAAATCCCTAGCACTTCAAATCACCTTTTAAAAACACCTGACAACTGGTTTTGCTGATGCAGATAAATTACTAAGACCATTCAATAAGGTAATATTTACTGCCTTGTTATTAGACACTCTTCAAAGCATACTCGTAGTTTGGTTTCTGTCTTTTAGTTAATGTGGAGATACGACATTCAGATTTTAACATTTACATACTAATCTCACTACAATCACAAAGGTTTGGGCTAGAATATATTTTCTAAACTGCCTTTACTGTAGTACTGTGGTTATAGTTCAGCCTACTTACTGAGCATGGATACCCAGCACCCAGGTAGTGTGGGTAGGGAAGCAAAACGGCATGCATCATAGGTGTAGTATAGCAGTTAGGTCATGTTGGGCCACCTATCCATCCAGATATGCCTGCATTGTCTTACCTTTAAAGACAACATCAATACGGTTCTGGCAGCTTCACATTTAATTTTTACTAGTTTCTTCTACCTGCTAATGCTCTGAAGATGTTTTTAAAATTCAACACAAAATACTTACTTGCAAACTAAGTGAAGTATAACATCTTTTCTATTTCATCAATCATCTCTAGTAATTATAAAAATAACAATCACAAGGAATATTCAATAATCTCTCTCCAAACCCATACCCAAAATAAACCAAATACATTCACAACTCTGGAAATCACATGTCTTGAACTGTAGTACTTGCTGGTATATTTAAGATCTCTGAACAACTCCAAATAGTTTAACTAGTAAACTATATCCTCCCTTCAATCCAAGCTGGAACTATGCTAAAAATTTCATAAAGCATTTAAGCCAACTATTATATCCATTTTTGCAATTATTATACTAACTTCCCCAACTTAGTTTACTAGAAAGGTGTTCCTCGAAAATACAGGACTCAGCAGGTTCATTTAAAACCTTGCATGGTATCTAAACATTCAAAATCTTAAAAGTTGCATTATCTTGACAGTGCAGAGATCAGAAAAAAGGAAGCCAAGAAACATTAAGAGTCTCCCACTTGATTGACTGCTTTGATATCTTTCAGGAAATGAGCATGAAAATAAACAGCTATTTTTCAATAAACAGAAAGTCTACCTGTAGTTCTTGACATAAAGTAAACCTGAAAAGAAATTCACAGGATCAGACAGAAGAGATGTGCTTCTTAATTTCAACCTACTTTAAAAGTTTGCAACAATGCTGCAAATGCACTAGGTGTTTCCTGGTGACAGCGACTCTGAGTAGAACCTAAATTTCTAAGAGGCGGTATTTTCTACAACATGTTGCTGGAAATCTGGATTATAAAGATGTTACTATTAAAAAGTGATTAAAATACTTGAAAGTTTAAACATACTGATTTAAGGGTGCATATGCTGTAATCTCAAAGGGCCAACAAGTTCACATGGACTAACCTTACCTCTGGAGAGGAGGTATCTGAACATGTGTAACATCAGCCTCAGAATTAGCACAGAACACGTGCAGCGCAAGTATCAGCACAAGTCTATTTTTAAAAAAATACCTTCTTTCTATGCCACCAGACTCATAACCAGTTAATGCAATTAAATGAATCTTTTAGATCTGTACATAAAAACCAACCACTTAACTAGCAAATGTAAGATTTAGGATCTCCATTATACCCAAAATTACATTACAACAGATTAAAAAAACTGACAAGTCTTAATTAAAGCTTTGAATAAAAAAATTCCTTCCCTGGCGAACTAGTAAATAAAAATATCCTAGAAAACTTGTTTTTCAAGCATTCTATGTATATACATTTTAATTACCTAATTTTCTAATGGGGGAAATGGAAACTGATACTTAACACTTTCCGTGAAACATTTAGCTATTAACCCAGGACAAAAATCATAACAATATAGAAAATTCATAAACAAGATACTTGTTTTGTATTTTATGTGTGGTGTTGCTGTTCCAAACTAACAGCAAAGCTTGTTTTGAAATACTACAAGATAGTTTTCCATCTCAGCATACTAACCAGTGAGTGCCCTTTGGTTCTTCTAAATCAAGAATAGATTGTTGATTACAGATAATCAATCATCTCGATTTGTGGGCCTTTCATACACAAATACCAAATGGCTAGGCTCTTATCTTATACAAGTTTAACTATTAGGAATTAACCAAACTAATTTACTCTACCCATTTTGTTGGAGGGAAGAAAACTTACACCCACAGAACTATTTCACTGAACACAGTCTGTATCTGTCAACAAGAAGCTTACACAAGTTCCAAAAGCAGTGTTTCGTTTACTTTTAAAATGGAGAAGACACTCATTCAGGTGAATCAGGTATAATTTGAACCTAATAAACCATGCATGACTCAAGAGTTAATAAACCAATGTGTTTTAAATTCATTCAAGTACTAATAATTCTGTATAAAGATTTATCATAAGATGTGTGGAAAAAATGCCAACTCCCAAATAAAAATATAGTTAAAATACATAGTGGTTAGTATTCCATGAAGCATAAAATCTGATAAATCTGAAGTTTACATGTCCCAGCTGGACCATGTGTGAAAAATGCAAAGCATATATTAAAACCAGTATTTTGTCTAATATTTGAAACCGGCTTGTAATTGAGGGAACATCTAAATCCTTAATTAAAAAACACAAATGAAGTGAAAGCTTTAAACTGGTTCACACTGTTCACACCTATATTTCAAGTTTGGAAATGCATATTTGCAAGCAGCAATACAAAAGTATTCATGAAGAATGCATAATCTCTGAAAATTATGAAAACATCCCTGCTACCAATACATTTCTAAATACAAAACTGACTAACATAGTTGTTACTTCTGTGTAGCTAGAGAAGTTCGTTTTCAAAACAGATAAAAGTCAGTCTTTAGGTGTGAATGGTATGAATGACAGTCTTTTTTTTTTACTTCTTAGTCGTTTGGGATCCTTAAGCATGCAAAAGCTTTGAACAGGAGGGTCCACAAAGGAACCAGTGTTTTATCATGGCATCCAGTGAGGCCAGAGCTGGGAATGCCTCTGGGTCATCTACATCAGGAGCAGAAGCACTTGACTTATCAGTCCTGCTGCCACGGTTTGGACGTCCACCACGCCCACGTCCGCCACGTCCTCCTCTGCCACCACGTCCTGGGCGGCCTAGGTCTCCAAAATTGATCTCTAGTTGAGACGTTATATCATTTGCTGGCTTCCGGAAATGATGGTCCATAACCGAATCTTCAGCATGAGCCTCTTCACTTTTTGATTTATGCAGAACAAATCCCTTTTTCCATTGTCCATCGGCACCTTCATTTGGTTTTCGGATATTAAACTCTACTTTTGCTCGGTCTTTATTTTGAATAGCTTTCCACTCATCCAAAGTCATCTCTTTTGGACCCTCTTCCTTAACCTCTTCAACTTCATTCTCCTTATTTTCAGTGTCTGCCACTGGGTGCTATTCACCTTCAGGTGTTTCCTCAGTCACATTTGATTGATCCAAATCAGTTAATTCATCTTTGACAGTTCCCCAGTTGCGAGATCCGCTACCTCCACGTTTGTCCTCATGCTTCAGACCACTGTAATGTGAAAAAGAAGATCTATCACTTCCACTATGCCTATCAAATTCACGTTTGCCACGAGAATCAAATCCATCGCCTCTGCCCATCCCACGTCCACGGCCTCCTCGACCCCTTCCAAGACCACCTCGGCCTCGGATAGGCCGTTCAATAATCGGTCTATCAACTGAAAATTCACCGCCTTCACCCTTTTCTTCAAGTGGCTTTTCAAATCTTCTTTCCCGAGGTGGTCGCCTTTCTGGTCTCCTATTATCAAGTATTTTTCCTTCACCCTGAAGTTGTTGATCAGGTCTTCTTCCAACTCGCCTTATTCCTTCTTTCTTCAGCGCCACCGGCGGCTGCGTCTCCTCCTTTTGGTCGGCCACGCCGACGCTGGGGGGCAGCGGGTTCTTGCGATCTTTCTGGGACTCTTTACGCAACTGTTTGCCCGCCGCGTTGGAGTTGGTCTGGGCCGCGGCCTGAGCTGCGCTCTTGGCTCCAGGGCCCCCAACGCCGCCCCCGCCGGTTTCTTTTTTCTTGTTCTCTGCTGCCTTCAGTACCTCGAAAGGGTCCGATTCGTCGTCAAATAGCTGGTCGAATCGGTTGGTGACCACGCAACCGAACCCTTCCTGTAGGTGCCCGGGCATAATGGTGGCTCGGCGGCGCGTTCCTCCACGGATTGCAGCGGACCGCACCGAGCCAAAAGCGCCTGCTTCAGCTCTTCCCACAAGATCTAAGTTGTGTTTCTAGAACAAGAAATTATAGCTCTTGCTGCAGTTTTTAGCGTCTTTGAATGTATGAGAATGCTACATTAGAACATTTTTCTTAAAACCCCTTTTTGAACACTCATATAAAAAATATTCTACTAAATGAATCTGTTAGCCATATTTTGTGTCTGTGTTAGAATAAAGCAAACTAGGTTTCTAGAAGATGCCTGAGAAAGGGATCAGGGCGCAAAAGAAGAGAGTTGAGATCCTAATAAATGCAGTGTATCACTTAGGAGTCGCTTGCTCTCTTCTGAGCACCCACGATGCTGCTTAGCAACAGGCTGCAGAGAAATGTTCAAACTTACTTCTCATCCAAAATGCTGATGGTTTACAAATGCTTCGGAAAAGAAAAGCCCGGGAGTAGGTGGGCACAAAAAGTCTGAAACCATTCATTCTACAGCTACTTTTGGGAGAAGAAATCTCTTCTTCAAAGTTCCATTGTGAAATGTACCAAAATTCGAATGACATTAATAAACTATCAAAGAACCCATAAAGACTCCTATAAGAATTCAAAGACATAAACTTTTAAAAAGTTATAAAGCAGTCCTTCCAACATATTTATACTTGAAGGGGAGGGGCATAGTGTATCTGGTCAGTTTCGGGGACTTCCTGTCTAAATTTAAGGAGCTCACTGCATAGTGGACTGCTCTACTTCCCCTTAAAACATCTTGTTGTTTTACCTACTTTCTGAGCCACATTTATTAATTCAGAGGAATACTTAGTAAGAAATACTTAGAATATATTACATATCAGTAACAGATATATTGTATCCTTGTTTTGATTCTTATGAGTATTTATTTGTTCCTTGGATTTTCAATGTTGTAATGGAAATTTTTATTTTGGACAAAATTGGTTCTGTGACTACATGCAAACAATGAACAAATAGTTACATAGGCCCCAAGTGAGGGGCATACACCTTTAATCCCAGCATTTGGAGACAAAGGCTGGAAGATTTCTGTAAGTCTGGTCTACAAAATGAGTTCCAGGACAGCCAGGGTTGCACAGTGAGACCTCCTTTCAAAAAAAATTACATAGAACAAGGTATTGGCAAAAATCCCAACATAGAGAAGAGGAAGAGTACAAAGTTCTGCCTATAACTATTTAAAATTTAAGGAGGACAAAGCCCCACCTCTAACTATTAGAAATTAGAAGAGGAAGAAGAAAAAGTCCCACTCCTAACTACTTGAATTTAATAGTTGCTGGGAGAGGGACATCATATAGCAGGGCAGGTCCCATGTTTAGGAGTATTTGGCTAACATAAATCAGACTTCGTGTGATTTTTGTGCTTTTGTTTTGTTTTGGGTTTGGGTTTTTGTTTTTGAGAAATAGAAATAACATGAAGTTGGGTGGGCAAGGAGACAGGGAGGAGCTCAGAGGAGTTGGGGAAGAAAAATAATCTAATGAAAGTATATTGCATGAAATTCTAAAATATAATAATAAATGAGAACATAACTTTTTAAGAACAAGGTCTTGGTGGAGGATCCTGAGCCTGGCATCTTCTGTCCCCATGGAGTGTGAATGAATACCCTGCCCACCCAGCATGTAAAGGATTCACCAGCTCTGGATATTTCTGCACCACCATTGGGTACTAATTTATTGATGTATTGGTTTATTTAATGATTTATGTGAAGCACTGCTTGTACTGCCCATTTGCTAAGCATAGCTTCACTTGTTACCTGAAAAAGAGTGACCTAGAAAATGGTTAAGGGTTGTTGTCCTTTAACAATCTGCAGACTACCATTCACCCTTCTGTAAAACCCTGCTTGCTGGTCCCACCTTGTGGTTCTAGAATATAAAATGAGACTACAAACTGGATCTGAGATTGAAGCTTTTCTGGTTACAGTACACCAATAACATTGTCTTTCTTCCACTCTAGTCAGTGTTGGATGCTTATTCCAGAAAGAATCCCACAACACAAGGATTTGCTAGGACTAAAGGCATGTGCCACCATGCCTAACTTGCCTAGGAAGTTTCAGGAAACAAAATCAAAGACCACATGTTAGAACAAGAGAGTCCCCAAACACCTGTGCTGCCCAGAAAAACTATAAGAGTTTCAAGAGCTCCATGCCAGGCATGGAAAGCAGAGGCCATATATATTAGTTCATACTATCCAATAATAGTTATTATTTTATAGTAATCCAATGGTTTAACCCCCAATCGAGAAAAAGGCCTCAAATACAAAGGTTTTGTTAATTCATGAACTTTCATAACAGTCACATTAAGGAATACATTTCTTCCTGAGTCTTTCTGGAAGACACTGTTTGAGAGCAATGCAGCCAATTGAGTGAAGAAAACAGGCAGTGAAAATGAACCAATAAAGAGCATGAGTTATGGTCATTCAGCCCAGAATTGAAAAGACCAGGGAAGCTGAAAGAGGCTCTTATATTCATGCTGACAGCCGGAAGTCAGAAGAGATCACTTGACCAAGTAGTCAAGTACACCAGTTAGTTACCCCACTGAACTTGGAAGATGCAGCTGAAGTCTGCCAATCGATGCTCAAAAGTGTGGCTAGTATTGAGGCCTACACTTGTAGTAGTCTATGTTTTCTTATACATGAATTCGGTTAGAACACACTTTCTGCCCATGTTTTCCATTCCAAGTGGAATGTCTGTCCATCTTACCCAAATAACTAATTAATGTGCTGTGATGGTAACTTTCAGAACTGAATGTGTGACACAAAAAAAAGGTTTTTTTTTCTGTTTTCTTCATAATTTTATGGATGAATTTGCTGAACTTAGCAAGCTCAGCACAAGAGGTTTTTTTCTTTGTTAAATAGAAATATTCACCTTTCCACTTTACAGGTTTTCTTACCCCAAAAACCACCAAGAGACAAGATTCAATGCAAAAGCATAGTCTTTTTAATGACGACTTAACCCCACCCATCTGACACAGCGGGTGGAGTAGGAGGGAGCCCAAGCCACAACGGGGGCAGGGCATATATTGGGGGTAGAGCAAGGGGGTGTCTGAAGGTCTGCTGGCTGCATAGTAATAGTCTCAGGAGTGGCGCACCTCCAGACTGGAGAACCTGTCCTGAGTTGGCTGGTCAACTGCAGCTGCAGAAAGGTTGCTGAGCCTGGAGGCCATCCCGGGGCCGTTGCTACCTACTGCGTTCCACCGTTATCAGTAAAGCCCATCCAGAGCCCACGAACTGACCTCTGATTGTTCCTTACCACGTGGAGGGGATCTAGAGGTTTCTTCCCAGCAATCAGGGCAAGGCTGAGGCTCCGCACTTCCTGCTGAGTCAGGGGCCTGCATCTTGCTGGGTCTTTTCTGCATCCTGTCTTGGCTGCCGAAGCAGGGGGCTGGGCAGGGTCTGGGTGCTTCACTACCCACATCGGTACTCTCGAATTTGGAGCCATGCTTGAGTAAATGATTGTCACTGGGTTGCAAGCACTGTGGTATGCTAACACAGAAAAGACAGCGAAGCTACCAAGCGACAAAAGTGAAGAGGCACACACAGCTAGGACGCAGCGGGCAAAGGGTGGTTCACGCTCTGGTGGAGCAAAGAAAGCAACAGAGTGATAGCTGTTATACTTTGTGCCGCACAGTTTGGAACCTACGGATTACTGAGGGAACTTCCGCTGATGCGTCTGCCTGCATTCGATCACTGTAATAAAGCACAGAAAGTGAAACTACAGACAGCAAAACTATGGATAGTTAAATCATAGAGTGAAAATCATGATGAAAACAGATGCGCGGAACACTTAGAAAAAGAATATAGACAGCAAAAACCAAGTGGTAGGTACAAGTCGTCACAGGAAGTGGAAATAAGTACATGCTTATTTTGACTCTGCTTATCCTATGGTCTCAAGAATTATTCCCTAAAGAAATAGATGCTTAGCCGGACGGTGGTGGCGCACGCCTTTAATCCCAGCACTCGGGAGGCAGAGGCAGGCGAATCGCTGTGAGTTCGAGGCCAGGCTGGACCGACAGCCTCCAAAACAATACAGAGAAACCCTGTCTCGTAAAAAAACCAAAAAAAAAGAAAAAAAAGAAAAAAGAAATAGATGCTTAAAAGGGGAAATACAACAGAAGGCTGAAGTGTCTAGTACATGCACTATGGCAGGCTCAAACTCCAGCACTCATGCATGAGCACACACACACACACACACCACACACACACACCACAACACCACACACACCACACACACACATACCACACACTACACACACACACCATACCACACACACACACATAGCACACACACACACCATACACACTACATACTCACATACCACACACCACACACACACACCACACACACCACATACACCATACACTCCACATACACACCACACACACACACCACACACACATACACATACTTTATTAAAGTTTCAATAAAATTAAAACCAATCAGACAAAATATTAATCTTTCAAACTATAAAAAGAAATATTTAAAAGCCAAGCAAAAGCAGGTTATTTATGAGTTTTTCTTTTTAAATTATATTAACTTTTATTATTTAAGAAAACTTTTAAATTTAAATACTATTGATCATATTTTTCCCCTAAGTCCTTCCACCCTCTCTATATTACCCCCTCTACCCACCCAACTTTAAGCTTTTTTCAAAAATCAAACAGAAACTCATTACAACAAAGCCAAAAAGTAAAAAAATAAAATAAAACCATGCCCAAAAAGAAAAAAGGAAAACCACCAAACCGTAACCAAATAAAAGCACAAACACACAAAAAACCCTGTGGCATCCATTTTATGTTGATGAGCTGCCTCTGAACACGAGGCCTGTCCTGGAGGGCTTGACACATAAACCCAGTGTGGCTCTGCTGGAGAAACTGATTTTCCTCTCCCCGCAGGTATAAGCGGCAGCCCAGTTGTTAACCTGTACCCTGGTGGCTAGGTTTTCTTTCATTCAGCCACTCA